ATTTTGAAAGGATAATAATTTAAAACATGAAGGTGGTAAAAGTTGGAGAAAACACAGGAAGTAAAATGTATCTCTACATTTTCACTTTTGAAACTACTCATTGAGATTTTAAAGACAGTTGGCAGCATGTCATGACATTAGCAATAGAGCTATGTGAGTTATGATGTCTGAGGGCCGCTCTGTGTGTCAGGAGGAAGTATTGTGACAGAAACTGCAGGCATCTCCTGTAGTCCACTTCCTCCTCTCGCACCTCATCTCTGCCTCTTGTGAAACTCGACAAACTTTGTACATGCTACTGGTTCTCTTCCTGCAACGGCCTGCTGCTCACAGGAGGGGCTGCCAAAGCTGTTTGCAACACCCTGCGAGATAAATCTACTAAACTGAGATTACAGTACAGCTCGATAACTCCACTGTATATTGTAATTTTTCTCTCAAAACTTTAACACAAACACCTACAGTTATGTTGACTTCTTCTCTGTATAGCTCCTAATTAATCAAAATCAACATTATTTTAAATCTTAAATTTGATTTAGTATCTTTTAGATGTGTGTCTTGCTTGTTTGTGCTTTGTATGCACCTACTGTGGAAAGGAAATTGGTTCTTGAGAACAAATGATAAGCTATCTCTATCTATTTGAGCTGTCTTTTGTTTTAAAGGAAAGGGAAAAAGAGGAAACTCACTCAGCTGCTGATGTTTCGCTGAAGAGATTACCTTTTAAGACACACTACCCTTTATCATATCACAACTGAACTTAGAGCGTGAATACCCTCTTATGTCTTGTCAGATATAAAGTGATGTATGAAATGCAGGTAACTGTCATGAAGCCAGAAAACAGATTTTAAAAAATCGTTTTTGCCTTAAAAAAGAAAAGCATTTGTAGTGAAATGATATATGTATGTTATCTTAACAACCTATGTATGTTAAGATAACATACATAGGTTCTGGTTATTGTAGCGTACACACATAATACAGCTCCCTATAGGTGTGTGTGTGTGTGTGACAAAGCAAATGAATGAAGGTGTGGTACTGTACCATTGTTCCAGCGGGCCTCCTCTCCTCCTCAGGTGTTCAACGTTGAGAGTTTGTGTGTCTGTGTGGTTATAATCCACAGGTTGAGCTCCTCAGACTGCAGCCTCCACAGGCAGGCAGACGGTCCGAGCCAACAGCAGCCTGCGACCTGCAAAACATCCACTGCAAGAATCAAACAGTTACTTCCTCATACTCCCACAGATGCAGTGTGTGAAACAAGAACTGCACACTCACACACACACAGACTGAAGCAGCTACTTCTGTATTTCTATTTTATCTTGTATAAAGTCATTTGAGCAACATAAAACAATGACCTCACTGTGTCTGTTTCAGCAGGTCTGAAGGTAAAACAATTAGTAACTCTAATTCATCTGGCCAGCAGCAGCCGATGGTGGATGATATCAACAAACCTAAAGTGATAATTATCTGTTGCCAAATGATGGTGTTTCAGTTGTGAGCTGCCGACTCCACCCAGGCTGTGGTTTCTTCATGTTGTGATTGTGTCTTCAGACACAGGCTGCTGCTTCCAACGCCCATCATAAAGCAGCTTCACCCAGAGGTGGAAAGTGCACCGTGCTGACAGGAGTGTGAGTGTGAGTGTGAGTGTGAGTGTGAGTGTGAGTGTGAGTGTGAGTGTGAGTGTGTGTGTGTGTGTGTGTGTGTGTGTGAGGTGGTGTCAACTATGTGGTTTTCACGTTTTTGTACGTCTTTTTGCGTGAGAATGTTTTTGTGTGGGAGTGCAAATCCTTCTGTAGATCGATGTGGATCTGGTCCTACTCAGGGAGGGGAGAGAAACTCTTGAATGGCAGACCATATTTGGACGCATTTTAAGAACTGTTTCCTCATTATAATAAACTGTACATTATTAATAGTTAGATGTTTTTTTTATTTAGAGTAATAAATGAAAACCATATATATCAATAGCTATTTCTAACTCCCACTAGTACACACACACACACACACACACACACACACACACACACACACACACACACACACCACACACACACACCACACACACACACACACACACACACACACACACACACACACACACACACACACACACACACACACACACACACACACACACACACACACACACACACACCACACACCACCACACACAACACACCACACACACACACACACACACACCACACACCCACACACACACACACACACACACACACACACACACACACACCACACACACACACACCACACACACAATTTTCTTCTTTTTATATCTTGTAGTTTCTTTTGCGTCTTTGGTCCTTAAGTATCTTTTGTTTCAATTTTCTGTCTTTTCGATATTGTTTTCATACTCTTTGTCAATGAGGATAGAAGACAGCATACATCTAAAAAACTTTACAGGGACACACGTGTTCACATGCAGTATAGGTTCATACACACACAATCAACTCACCCCTTTATTTTTCATCCGATGGACGAGGATGTCTCAGTGTCATCAGACAAAAGGAAGAAGTTCTTGCTTCATCTTTTCCATGAAGTCTGTCAGACCCAGAAATAGATCACTGATGATCTCAACCTCTGTCTGGATGCTGTAATGTGCCATTTAAGTACAAGTACATTGAGGGCAGAAATATCAAATGACCACATTTCTTCTTCTTTTTTTGAATGAACAATGCACCATGTTTAATCAATTTAATATTTACTTTTAAAAGGATGTACATGGAGGACAAATGGATTCACAACCTATAGTATTTAACAACGTACAGTACATGTCATGGTATAATTAGCATGTGACAAAACAAAACAACAAATACCGGTATTGTCCCTCTTATTAACTCGAATAAAACAGGCTCGTTTCTCAGTGTGAACCTTCATATTAGGCACAGGTAGCAACAGAAATCGCTACAAACGGGTTATGTTCATTCCTGAACCAAATATTTATGGGGGGCACAATCTGAGAAACCAACATTTCTTTAGGTGTTTGAAACACAAATGTTTTTTTAAATGCCGCCAAAATAGGTTTTATTATAAGGCTCAAATTGTTAAGAGCTTGGGAATGCCAATATCTTGTACAGTGGCCCTTTAAAAATTGTAACAGTATTTAAAATAAGTTTATGATCTGCTTGGTGAGCTACATTTGGAGATTTTGAGGCATTACTGGCCACTTTAACAAAGTCAGGGAGTGGAAATTAAACTTTTATATTCCGACACAAATGAACAAAAAGCCAAATGTGGCACCCACCTATTACAACTCTGAATATTGGTATTATTACAAAAACACTTACATTTACTTCTAAAACATTTAAAGCACAATTGTTAAAATGATAGAAACGACAACAACAGTGAACTCATAGCACCAATCCAAACCAAAGCACCACAAGAAAAAAGGAAAGGAACAGCATCGCAGCAAATCCCCATACAGACAAACTGTAGATTCTATAATGAAATGATGAGACATGTGGTGTTAAACAGAGCTGCTTTCAGAGCACAGTGGACGTCACAGTGATGACACAGCATTTTTTACAGTTTTAAGGATAAAGAAACAGCTGTAACTGCATTTAAAAAAATAAAAACGTCATTAAAATGAGGGCAGCAAAAATGTGGGTCAGGTGATTAGTTTCCTTTAGAACAGCAGTAAAACAGTGACCTTTAGGGTGCAATGGTCACAATACTATCTTTAGAAGGACAAGCTGACATGTTTCCTTTTAATATTTTAGCATCCAGCTCATACAGTTAGTGTAATTCGATAATCAGTTATAACTGATTTTTTTCAATATATGAAATGAGGATGATAATGGTTTCTTTGAGTTTTCACAGTTAGCTGTCTTGCTTGACTTGGTTCATTCATTGCATATTTGTCTCTACTGCAGGTAGCTATTTTCAATGAAAACGCTCGGAAAACCCCAGTGAGAACGTCCTATCTTAGCATTAAACAGCAGAAAACGCAGTAAGTGAGTAGCTTGTGAACATAGTGGATCATTGAGCAGCTAAAGGGTCAGATATTTCCCTCCGGAGTTGGAGACCTAAAACAGAACTAAAAAAGAGTCAATATTGGTCTTAAACTTGTCTGGTGGGCAGAAATAACTACAACTAAATGACCATATTGTTCAGTTAATGCATGAAGTGTTAATAAGCAACTGGTGGCTAACATGTTCACCAATTAACCTAAAAATTGCTATGTCAATGTTGCTTATGCTGCCCCCATGTGGTCAAACGAAATCACCTATTATCACCCTAATTTAAGATGGCTGTAGTTTTTTTTTTTATGTGGCAGAAATCTTTTCATAGGGACATAAATGATGGTTTCAGACAGTCCTTAATTTATCATATCTGTGCCACAAAGACATCTGATATTTTACGGGTGAATTAATCCATCCTCAAATTAGCACTAATACTATAAAATGCAGTTTGAAAGTAAGTGCGGTCAGATGTCTTCACTCCTCCCTCTGGGCCTGTTCCTGCTGGCAGAGCTGACTCTACCGTGTCTCACTGTGCTCTGAATGAACACTCACAATAAAAGTTACTGCACAAGCCCCACAGTCGGCAGCCACAAAATAACATCCTATAATCTGAAAATGTCCTGTCTCACATCATGAAATACTGAAGGCAGAGTCACTGTTTGCCCTGTGCAGCTCTGTTTTACTGTAGAGGTGATAACATTTTTAGCAAACTTTTCAAAATGGCAAGACTACGGCTGGTTCACTGCAATGACACATCTATAGCTTTCACAAATACAAATCAAAACAAACAAAACACACAAATCCTCTGACTGTTGACACTGTGCAAATCAAACTCTGCTCATACTTCAGCTACATAACAGCCAGGACTTTATGAATATGTTGATCTGGCGTTAAGCAATGGCATTT